GACTTGGGTGTGATTCTCCCCATCCTCAGTCCCAGGCTGGCTCCCCAGGGAAGACTCCTGAGGCCCCTGCAACCTCAGTACCCATCTGGACCCTGCTTGAATCGGCAGCACCAATCCCTATGCCCCATGTAATCATCTCGTTAACTGCAGCTAAACTGAGGTGGGTGTTGGGCTCGCACTGACAGTGAGCTGGGCCCCTGCTATGGTGTTCCTGGATGTTCTTCAGCACTCACCAATGCTTTGTCCATCATCCCAGAACAGCTGGCCATGAGCTTTCCCATCGCTGTCCAAGGCAACAGTCAATCCCATAAAATTTTGTCGACTGTCAGGGAAAAAATAAAAAAAGAAGAAGTAACTTGTCTCTAGGTGGTAGGCTGTGCAAATGAAGGACAGCTTCTGGGAGAAGCCTCACTTCTCCATGGAACAAGGTACTGCATTAAATATGCATAGAAAGTTCTAAACACAGGAAAAATGAGGTCAAATACAAGGTGCTTAAATGTTAATGAAAAAAGTTCTAAAATTTAATGAAACATTTGGTACAATTTCAACCTTCCAAAACAAAGGATCCATACTTTACAAATAGACACATCGCAATGTGACATGGATTTCTCAGGAAGAAAACCCTTTGGTAGCATCCAGGTTGCCACGGAATAAAATCTAAAGTCTGTCATGCACCACCTTCCGTGACCTGATCCCAAACGGCTTGAACTCTGCTTATTGTACTCCCTTCCTTGTCCAGGCTATTCCGCAAACTCAACCCCTTACTCACTGCAGTTCTTTAATCCCCACAGAAACTCTACCCTGTCCTCACACATACAAATTCCAGGCATGATTTAAGACCTGGCTCCAAGCCCTCTCTCCTTACACCACGAAGCTGAATGTTGATCCTCTCCTTCTGAATGGTCAATGCTCTTTCTCTGTGTCTCTCTTGACATAACGTGTTCTAGTCAGTGCTTTATTATGTGAGGGGTGTGTATGTGTGTGCAGTTTTCAGGGTAAAAGAAGTAACCTGGAAATGAGCATTAAATCCTTGGATAGCAATCACAGGTCAAGAATCTCATTGTTTTTGTTGTTAGTTGCCATCAAGAATCTGACTCATAGTGACTCCACGTACAGCAGAACAAACCACTGTCCAGAGCTGCATCTCCTGACAATCATTGCCATGCATGAGCCGTTGTTTCAGCCACTTGTCAATCCATCTCCTTGAGGGTCTTCCTCTTTATATTTGACCCTCTGCCTTACCAAGTACGATGTCCTTCTCCAGGGACTGGTCCTTCCTGATAACATGACCCAAGATCACGGGATGAAGTCTCGTCATTCTCGCTTTGAAGCAGCATTCTGGCAGAACTTCTTTCAGGAAGATTTGTTCACTCTTTGGCAGTTCCTAGCTATTCCTACAGGTTCTATATTCTTTGCCAACACCGTAATTCAAAGGTGTCAGTTCTT